GTGTAGCAAGTTCATCAAGCTGTCCCCTGGGGATGATATGTACTTTCTCACCACCCTCACCCCTACCACCTCTACCTCTACCACCCTCACCCCTACCACCTCTACCACCATCTCCTCTTGGGAGGCTCCCCCTCATCTGCCACTCCTCAGCAGGGTCTCCTCCATCAAGGGGAGATTGCCCTGTGTTAGGTTCTCAAAGACCTGTAAGTCCGCTCCACAGCACTGATCACAAGTGGAATTATCCAGCTCTTCCTGTGGTGGTTGGTTTCATGTGTTGTCTGTTGCTAGACTTTGAGCAACCAAGGCTTTCTGTGTCCACTGGGTCTGCTGCTGTGTCTTCTGAGCCTAGCACAGGGGGCCGGTGGGAAATAGTTGGCAAAGGAACGATGGAAGGGAGAGGGGGGAAGCAGATGGAGAAACAAAAAAGAGAGGGGGAGGGAAGAAGAGAAGAAGAAGAAGAAGAGAAGGGAGGAAGGTGAGGGGAAGGAGGAGGGGATGTGTCTCCCAGGTTCTGGAATTTTGAGGCATGGCTAGAGGTTGGCAAGGGGGAGCATGGATGAGTGCACTGCATGAGTGAATAAAGAGTCTCCTGAGTAAGAAGTCTTTCCTGCAGAAGGTAGACTCCCTGTGGGCAGGGCTGGCCAAGGACTATAGCCTAGGTTCACAGGGGAGGGCGAAGACCCTGACCCGGGGCTATCTCAGATTTTCTTTTGATTCAGAGGAAGTCACTGTGGGTCGAAAGAAATTTCCTCTACCCTCAAGGTTCTTTTGGTTGGCCTAATAATCAAATAAACATGAGACAGATTAACAGGAGAAAATAACCAGAGTTAACACATACAAATATACGGGAACCCTGCACACGTGAGACAGTCAGGGACCCCAATGCGGAAGAGGTTCCGAGACAGAAGGAGTACATGGGCATAGAAGACATTCTCATCTGCGGATGAGGGAAGGTGCCTTGAGAGCTTCAAAGCGTCCTTTCTGAATGATAAGAAGAGCAGACGTTTAGTAGATAAGTAGAAAGAGATTATTTCTGATAATCTCTTATTATGGTCAAGACCCCTGGTTTAAGTTCTTCTTTCTAGTCAAGGGGCAGCAGAAGTTGCTCTTGAGCTGTGGGTCAAGTTGCATTTAGCTGAAAACAACACGCGTACCACAGAGGCACATCTTGGGGTGACTCATTCTGAACCCCCACATTGCAAAAAAGAGCAATTTCTCTGTTTCTGCAGGACGCTGAGAGCATGAGGTGTGAGCCACTGGATGTAGGCAGCAGCCTTGGGGACAGCCATAATGCTGGCAGAAGGATGCGGGGTGGCCACTGCACAGTGGTGATGACAGCGTTTTCTGCACCCAGTGAGCACGTGAGGTGCAGCCCTGCTGGCCCAGGCTTGGGCGGCCATGGTAAGGTCTGCATATTTGGTGGTGACAGTAGAGGCCTCCATTGGCCTTGTGACATGGAGGCCATTGTATGCAGTGAAGGCAACGGGGGCTAACTGGAAGGGGAGGTGGGTCCCACGTATCTCACAGCAGGCCTGCACTGCCCGGGGTGGGAAGGGTCTGGGGGCATGCCGCAGTTCCTTCAGACCTGGAGGAGGTCCAGCTAGAAAATTCCAGGTAGAATTAATATGATGAATAGCCCAGACTGGAATCCTCTGGAACACACAAACTGCTGAGAGGTGGCTTCTGCGCAGCACACATGAATGAGGGGAGAGGACATCCAAGAGCCCATGGAGCCCTAAAGGCAAACATTTCCCTGGGTTTGTGAACAGGACTTCCTTCCAGAGCCCCTCACCTAAGTCCTGGCTATAGCGTAACTCTCACCCAAAGCCGCTTGTCTCTTGGCTCCAAGAACACTCCTTTGAGAGATCTTTTCCTGTTTTAATTCAGTATTCCCAAAGACAGCTCAGGAGCAACAGCTCCTGCTCTAAAGGGGAGCTTTGTTTTATGAAACGAGAGAAAACAAAACCACCCTCAGTAATCGTGGAAACTCCCAGTTACTTTTGTTTAGGCACTGTGTCAAGATATACCTGTGTGGGCAGGGCTTTCTAAAGCATTTCTAAACTTTCTAAAGCATTTCACACTCCTTTTCCTGAAACTATGGCTTTCAAATGTGTGGGGGGGGGGCGGTTTTTTGTTTGTTTTTTTTGATTGCCAGTCTAACTCCCCATTTTATTCTCCCAGAAGTTTTTTTTCTGTATCTTCAGAAAGACCTTACAGGGGAATATCTATTCTATCTCATAAGGCACTATTCCTACTGACGGATCACTCTGAAAATGTTGGTCAGGTGCTCTTACAATGGTTTTTGGAGTTTTCAAGTTCACACTCAAGAGTTACCCAAGGCACTACGGGCGCAATCTAAGGCACTAATGCACTGACGGGTACAATTATGAACACCATGAATGGAGCCAAACAAGCCATCAACAGGAGTCCTCAACAGCTTGTTTGGGCAACAGCTGAGATTGTATTGTAACTGTAGAAAGCTGTATTTATATTTGGAGTTTTCAAGTTCTTGCTTGAGAGTTATCTAAGGCACTAAAAGCCGATTCCATAATGCAAAAAAAATTCTCTCCCTTAAAGGATGTGGGCACAAATATGAAGCTGTTAAAAACAACATGGGGCAAAGGTCAGTGGGATGACATAATGGTGCTAGGAAATGGGCTTTGCAATTACACTTTTCTGAATGGTCTGAACTCGGTCTCACTGCTGACATCATCTGGAATGTTTACAAGGCCGCACAGGACTGTCCCTAGGACTAAGTGGCTGGTCCTGTGCTCAAACTAGACACAGTCTCATCTGGGAGGTCCTTTATGAATGCCACTGTTGGGGACAGGAAGTCGAGGACACTTAGACTCCTTTGGAACCAGCCCGGCTGTTCTGGGTTGTCTTTTGTGATTCGGCCTGGAGCATAGCTTCTTTAGCAGAAGGGGCAGATCCTTTCAGAGTGGAATAGGAGCTGATGGTGTTATGGGTGGAGGTGTCACTGGTGGCAGCTGCACGAATTTTTCATCCTCACCTCCCTTCAGTTGAGGTGCTAAGTCCACCGTGTCCTGTTTAGATTCAGAAGAAGCAGGTGATCCCACAGGACCATCCATCTCTGGAGCCTCTCCACTGAGTGGGGTCTCAGTTGGCTTTGGCTTCACATCTACCAGGTAGAAGGTTCATGACAGGAGCGAAAGGGAAGGGGGCACATTCTCCTTCGGGTGCGGGTCCTGCCACCCTCTGAGCTGTCGTCTCAGTTGTTCCTCAGTGAGACTCGGTGGTCTCATCCCTCGGGCCCTGCAGGCGGCGTGTAGTCCTGACACACCAAAGCACTCACCCCTTCTTTGGCAATTGTTTCATCATCTGCTTTTATGGAGACTTCAGCTTCATCAGGAGCTGAAGGCGGAGCAAATGGTTGGTTTCAAAGGACTGAATTTCTAGCAGTTTGCAAAGGGGAACCGGCTGAGGTTGGTCTCGGGGTGCCAGGGTTAGCAGATTCTCATACAGTTGGGAGAAGCAAACTGTCTCCTGTGTGCTGGGCTTGTCTGGACCTGTCTGACATGGGATGAGAACTGCGTAGCGGCCTCTACCCACTTGGTCTTTTTCCTCCTTACCGTTTCTGTAATTGTTTCTTGCAGAAATTTTACTAGTTCCAACTTTGCAACCATCTTCTTTTTCTGTTTTGTCTTCCTTTTTGGATTCACTTTCAGAAGATGATGGCAACATTTCTGGGAAGAGTCTCAGAGACACTGGGAATCAGAACTCCATGAAGGGGGCAATTATCAACACCATACATGGAGCCAAGCAGAAGAAATCAACACAGGTCCCCAACACCTCGTTCGGGCAGTAGCTAAGACTGTATTGTAACTGCAGAAGGCCACATTTATATTTGTCTCAAGTAGTCAACACAGGGACCCTCCCAATAGTGCAGTATGCCTGATAGTCACCATGGTAACCATCTCAAATGTTTTTAATTGCATACCCTATTAGTAAAATCATTTTGAGCACACACCACAAATATATGAGTGTGTGTATTTATTCACTAATTAAATTTTTACAATAGTGTGTTTATTGCTTGCTGTATTTATAGTTAAAGTCCTAACAGAGTGTGTCCCCTGAGATGTTTGCATCCCGGTAAATAAATACGAAGGAGACGAGGCTAGTATCATAATCCTCATTTTACAGATCACTAAACTAAGCTTCAGAGGGGGGAGGGGCATGCTCAGGTCAGAGAGCCAAAAATTGTAGGACTAAGATGAAAACCCAGTTTCAGTCATTGAATAGCCCCTCCTCAACCACGGTCCTGTCTCCCAGGGGCTTGGGCGGAGCCACACCTCCCATGTGCTCTGATTCTTCCTTCCATGTTCCAAATCCCGTCCCCACCCACCCCCCATCACAGTTGGGGGATGGACCCAGTCACATCTGTTCTGGGTGATTTCCACATTCCTCTTGCTTACTTACCTGTTTTGTCATTCTCTCCTGTAACAGAGGGTGAGCCTCTCTATGGGGTTCTGGAGCCAGGAAGCATCTGCTCTCCGTGCCTCATTGCTTTCTCCCTGACCCATTAAGCAGGGATGATGCCAAGACCTTCCAAGTCTCGCCTCGCCCAGGGGTTAATGTATTCTGCAGTTACTTGAGGGAAGATGCTCTCTCCAGCAGAGAGACCAGGTGATGGGATTTACTCTGAGTGGCCACTCTTGCCCTGCACCATGTGGCAGTGGCACTCCCAGGTAAGAGAACAAGGCCTGAAGGGAGGTTGTTCTCCCAAGTGGAAATACCCTGAAGTGAGTGAAAGAAACTGAGTGTCTGGAAACAATGAGAAACCCAAAACCCAGGCTTCCAAGATATCGGCAGCTGGAGGCTCCAGGAAGTGAGATGGGATCACGTGGAGGTTGCTTTGGGGTGGAGTATGGTAAAGACCTTGCAGTTAAATCTAATATTCTCTCCCTCTGGATGCCCGATGCTTGCTGATCACTGTTTAACTAACAATGTTTAACTATAGGTGGGGCCACACCTATAAGGAACAGCCTGAGGCGAAGAAGCAAACAGATGCCAGTGCTGCCAGCACTGCTCCGTCTGCCACTGCTCCAAGGGGGCTGCCACTCTCCAGCCCACAGGCTGCAGCTGAGCACGTGGGACCTGCCCAGTCTGCCTCTGATCCCTGCGGGCATACTGCTGACCCTGAATGCTCCACCGGCTGCATCTGCCTAGGAACCAGGTGAGGTGTGGGCAGTGACCTCGCAGAGCTTTGGACCGAGAACTCTGAACTTGAGGGCCTGTGCATTTCCCCGAAAAGCATCTTAAAATTATGTGGATTCTTAGTCTCCACCCCCAGATATATGTATTCAGTAGTTTTAAAAACTGGGCATTTCTGATGCAGTGCCCAAGAATAAGCTTTAAGAAAACCCAGGGCAAAGGATGAGTTGACACCCTCAGAGAAGATAGTCTAAACTTGGCACACGCCGTAGTGAGCGCCTTTCTTAACCTTCGAGTCACCTTTGCTTTCTGCTCAAAGTTGCAACCTGGAAGGCTACCCTGACCATAACGGATACCCTGACGGCAGGAATTCTGCCATCTCTGTCCCCCTGCAGCCCATGGGTAGTTTCTGACACATAGTATTTAATAAGAATTTGCTAACGGAAGGAACGGGGCCCAGGCCTTGCTTTTTGTTTTCTAATGATCTAGCTTAATAACTACACGCACAAATTGGAAAACCTGGGTTCATCTCAGACTGATCACCAGCACTTCAGAAGTTCTGATGGTTCCTAGACCCCTCCAGCTGTCCCCTGTGGCTGCTCAAGTCATGTTGACTTGGAGATGTGCCTCTGTCCTTGGGGCAGGGGCGGGGGTGGGGGCAGAACGCCAGCTGTTTTGCTGGAAGCTGAACTAACCACATTAGAATAAGTGCAGGTATTTCCCCTCTGTAGTTACTGCTGGGTTGTGACCTGCCGACTGCCCTCTTCGCTCAGGAACACAAACAGAACCTTGCTGATCTCCAGGTGGCATTAACTGGATCTCCTAAATGGCCCCGCCTGTACCCTGCTGAATCCAAACTTTGGAGCGGGGTGGGGCGGAGATAACTGCAGGAAGACTCAATTACTAACACACTGGTCGATGACAATCAAGTCATGTAGCAACTGTGTACTGGGGAAGAGGTATGTGTAACCTGAGCTCATTATCCCCAATATGCAGGTGGAAAAAGTGAGGTAGCTGGTGAGTGACTTGCTGCTGAGCGCATACCAGATGCAAATGACAGACCTAGGGTTACACTGTTTTGTCCCCTGGTTAGTTGGTTGTGTTCAGTGACTGACTTTCTTGAAAGAGGGCCCTGGTAGAGAAGGTGCTATCAAGAAATCACAAATCAATGACTCAACTGCTGGCACCAAGGGCTCACTCTCTGTCCAGCACTGGGCTTGCTTTTGCCGTAGGTGCTCTGACAGCAGTCCCCAACCTTTTGGATGCCAGAGACCGGTTTTGTGGAAGACAATTTTTCCATGGATGGGGCAGAGTGGGGGGTAGAGAAGGACTCAGAGCTCAGGCGGTAATGTGATCAAAGTTTTGATTGTTTGCCCACCACTCACCTCCTGCTATGCGGCCCGGTCCCTAATAGGCCATGAACTGATACCAGGAACCCCGGCTCCAAGATACTACCACTTGGGCATGCAACTTAACCTCTTTGGGTCCTGATTTCCATATGACTAAAATGTGGTAACAATAGCATCTGCCTCGTGCAATTATTGAAAAGAGCAAATAAGATAATATATGCAAAGTACTAGGCAGCCCCTGGCACATAGTTCATGTTCAAAACATTTTAGTTACTACTATAGATATTATTTGAGTCTAGGTTCTCTATAAAACGAAGCTTGAGGCAAAGCTTAAGTGCTAAGGCCTCATTGGGAGGTGCACTACCAGGGCCGTGAGGGTGAGGAAAAGAAAAAGGAGGGAGCCCTGGCTGGTGTAGCTCAGTGGATTGAGGAAGGGCTGCGAACCAGGCATCGCAGGTTCGATTCCCAGTTAGGGGACATGCCTAGGTTGGAGGCCATGGCCCCCAGCAACCACACATTAATGTTTCTCTCTCTCTCTCTTTCTCTCTCTCTTCCCTCTCTAAAAATAAATAAATAAAATCTTAAAAAAAAAAAAAAAGAAAAAGGAGGAGAATGGAGAGCACTACAAGATGAATCACCTTCGCATACAGACATAGCTGGCCATTCGGCCAAAGCAGGGCATCTGTGGACTAGCTGTGTGGAAACATGCGGGCTTGGGATAGCCAGCCTGAGAGAGGTTGGGGAAGAAATTTCTGTGCTGGTTCCATTCTGTCTTCTATCTTCCATTGCTCAAAGTTTGCCCCACAGGGAGTTAACTCTCCTGAACCTCTGGTTTGCACCATCTAGCCCCTTCGGCAGCCACTGGGAAGTCCATACTCTATGCCTTGAACTTGGTACTTCATGAGTCCAGAAGTGGTCTGGGGATAAAAAGAGGGCTATAAGTCCCAGAGACAAGTGACATGAAGAGAACCCAAGATAGCACAGAAGATTTGTTCAAAAGCGATCAAGTTATCATTATTAATATTTGCTGGACCCGTGCAAGGCACTAGTGTCCCCTGACCTTAGGGAGTCTCCTCTTTTTCCCATGAGACAAACACAAAGGGGTCCTCAGGTAGACTGGTCCATTCCACCTCTCCTCAATGTTTGGAAGAGGTCAGACCCCTCCCCCTCTCAAACCTCTAAGAGGCAGAGCACGCCATCGATAGATGGACTCTATCTCTCGGACAAGCGTTTCCTAAAGCATGGTGTATGGAACACCAGTTCTGGGAACTGTTGCTGGGAGCCCCTTGATACAAGGGTTCAGTGATCAAACACTTGGATGAGTGCTGCCTCCTACTCTCCCCTCCTTGGAGAGTCATGGTTCAGATCTGCCTCCGAAGAGGCCGAAACAAAGAAACTGCTCGAACCGAGCATGCCAGCCCTCTCCTTACAGAACGGCCATTGGAAGCGCTGCATCTGACCCTGGCAGCCCTGGGTGTGGTCTCTCTTCTCTCTGGATCCTGAATTCTTAGGGGTCTCTTCTTCACCATGCACTACATCTTACTTTGCACAGATCTTTTTGAGTAAAAAATTCTGCAATATAATGCAAGGCCATGCATGCTCACCAATCTGCAGAGCTGGTTCTTCCCATAAACAACCAGAGAACTCAGCCAAATGTTATTTCCTCTATTAATAATTAAGGTAGTCAAACAAGGTGATTCCTAAGGGGCCTTCCAGGCCCTTGTAATCTGTGACACTCATATGGAAAGGCAGCTGAAGGTCATCCCTTCCAGCTTCTGCATTGCTTCAGAGATGATCTATTTAGCTAATAATCCCATGCACACTTTTAAGAGATGGTGTAGGGGTATGGAAGCAAAGGGCTTCCCGCTGTTACCCTCTCCAGTAGAGCTGGATTTAATGAGAGAAATATCTTGCACCAAGGCAGTGGCCCCAGGTGATGAGCCGCCTCTCAGTCCTTGGGCTGGAAGAGATCCAAGCCCTGGGTTAACTTTCTTGCTCTGTGACACCAGCCACAAGGGATCTTTAAAATGGAGAGTGGCCAGGACCTCAGTTTGATTTCTCTCTGAGAGGGTGGTCCCTTGGGCAGTACTCTGACCTCTGTTCACTGGCTGGGTCAGCCCTTCCGTGTCCACCCCCCTGCAGAGGATCAAGGCTGACCAGGACCTCCCATGCAGCTCAGACACCCTGGGGGGCATGTCTCCATCAGAACTGACCCCACACCTGCCTCCAGGAGATGCAGCCAGTGACCCACATCTGGATCCAGCTGGCTGTCACATACCTGAGGGAGGAGAGGTCATAGATACGTGTTCCTTGTTCATAGCCAAACATCGTCTGTCCAGAAGTGGCTGCCAGCCAGCTGGGCTACATTAGTCAGTGCCATTTCGAAGTCTCCAGCTTCCTTCCGGAAACCAGAATTAAGAAACTTACAGGTGGCATTGACTGCGGGAGAGAGTCAGGGCAGGACAGGGCAGGACGGCTGGCTGCTGGGCTGCCGCAGGCACATCCTTCTACTCGGAGGCTGTCCTGACCCCTGTCACTGTCTCCTTCTGACACTCTGCGAACCCTGTCTTCTCCCTTCACTGGGTCACTCTATGCACATGGACAGGACTGCCCCGTGGCCCCCAACTGCCCCCCCCGGGCTGGCAGGCAGCCCAGGCAGCAGGAGGGAGGCAGAGGGTTCCTAGGCCAGCATCCCCACTGTCTCAGGAAGAGGCTCTGCAGGCACAGTCGTCCCCCTCATCCCGCCTGTCCTTCCCGCCGCCTCTCCAAAGGCCCCGTCACAGGCCGGCTCCCAGACTGGTTCTGCTCATCCCTCTCTCTGCTTTCTCTCCTCCTACCTAGCCCCCACCTGCGGATGCTCTGTCCTCCTTGGAGATTTTAGGGGTGGGAAAGAATGAAGGAAGGGGCGTGGGAATTCACATATACACACAATCACACACATGTCCACCGACACACACTTGTGTTCTAAGTTTGTCCTCTTTTGTGATGCTCTTTGACATACATAATTCAGAAAGCTCATGTTTTCAAAACACTGTCCCCTCCTGTTGTCCCATGCCCTGTCCCTGACTTCGGCCCCACAAGTGCGATCCCATTTGTTTGGATGGAAGCTTGCTTTCTGAAAATCTCAGAGCATGTAAGTTGGCTGGGCCTTGTTTGGGCATATCGGCATCCTGTGTCCCCAAGCTGGTCAGAAAGGGGAGTGTATCCTTTAGCCGAAATGTTTGGCTGCTGTGGCTCTCTCCCCACCAGCCCACCCCCACACCACGGTGGGGAGGCACCCAGCGCAGGGCTCTGCCCACCCGTCTCTGCAGCCCCCACAGACCTGAGATGCCCAGGGTAACCAGGCCAGAGGTCCAGCCGTTAGTGTCCTTGTCCCTTTCTCTCCCTATGCTGTGGCCACAGACAGTGCCCTGGCCCTCACCCCTATCGTAGCTGGAGGGAATGTCCAAGAGCCCCGGCAGGGGTCTCAACCTTTGCACCTTTTCCAGGGGTACCTGGAGGGCTCACGTCTCAGGGGCCAGAAAGCTCGGTGATATTTGGACACAATTTCAGCCCCATAGGGTGCTGGACTTGCATGAAAATGCCTTTCATGAGTGGATTTTGTTCTTCCCGCATCCCGGCCCTCTCCTTCCTCCCTTTCTTCCACAAGATCGCCACCTGCGCCGACGACCTG